TCACAAATTTTTTTAAAATTTAAAGTTGCTGTTAGAGTCAACACCTTTTTGTGAGGAAAGTCAAAGAGATTGTGCCTGCACGTAGCTGGGTCAAGCTGAAAGGAAAGTATCAAATGCATTTCTTTATGGTTTAAAAAGTAGCTACAGCCTAGCTATACTGCTCTTCTCACCTAGCCTCCTTCATGGTCTGTTCTTTTTCTGTGATTTTTTTTTTTTTTTCCTTGTGAACAGAGATGAAAAATACTAATGGAGAGACTCTCATATGTTTTCAGTGACAAGTCAGGGTGAGGAGGAGTCTTCTCATTCACTAGAACAGCATCGTCAATGAAAAGAAATAACTTTCCAGGGCAAATAGAAGGGAGAAACTGTCAAGGGCATTGCCTAGGATTTATAACTGAGAAAGGGAAATTATGGAATCTTTCTCCTGTCCTTTCCTCTCCAAATAGAGAAAGGGAAGAGTGGAAAATAGTTATGAACAGTACTACATCTAAACCTCTAAACAAGATGGGAATGTGAGCTTGTGTGGTATGTGTATATGTACAGCTTAGAACAGGCATTGCTTTGCCCCATCCGAGTATGTATTGGTAGGGTTTTTTGTATTAGGAAGTTCTCTTTCTGTTTAACGTTCCAGATAAAAGACAATTATCTTCAGATGTTCTTACTAGGCTACAAGAAGCATGATAACCCATTTGTTAATACTCCTAATGTATTAATGTTTCCATGTCAAACTGGAACACACAATATCTCTTAGGGTAAAGCATTGTTAGGCAAATGCATTTATTGCCCTATTTCCTGAAACACTATCTTTTTTTTAAAAAAAAAAAAATTGGTTTCATTTGAAGGGTATTATTCAGCTGGAGAAAGAATTGGCCAATTTAGGAGGATCATGTGCAGCAGCTTTGATGAAGAAAGATCTAGCACTTCCTATTGGTAAGTCCCACCCTAAAGAACATATTTTATTTCATCATTGTTTTGGGCTTTCTGAATGGATGCTACATTTAAGTCTTAATGTTGCTTTTAGTTAGAGATGATCATACAAAATTGGTTCTGAAAACCCAATTAATCAAACAAGATAATAAAGTAGTGGTGTTTTCTGCTTACACTGTTCCCTTCATATGTGTATGGGGAGGAGGGAAACCTGGTCATTTAAATCTGAACCAACTCACCCCATCCACAGGTAGTGTATCAATGTACGAGCTATGTCCTACAGTTTCCTCGTGGTACTTCACAAATGTGCAGGTATTTTATTTGTATTTCTCTTTCACTGTTTTTTCTCCCTGCACTCCACACCTTTCTGAACGAAAAATACCTGCAGCATTGAATTGCAAAACTTAAAATTAAAAGTGACCATTGCATCTGTAGACCTTATAGCCTAAAATATTTCTGCTGTAGTTTTTTTTATAATTACAAAAAACAACGTACTTTTGCAGCAGATGCAGCAAATAAAAGTTTACAGTAACCTAAATGCAATTTAAAATGTAAGAAAAAGTATGAGTTCATGAAAATTAATCTATATGGAGATTGAATTAGAACCTTCTAATAATGCAGCCATATTCTGTGTAATAGCTTTTATCCTAATTAACTGTAGCGTATAGGGAAAAACAGGCTCATGGTCTATAATAGGTCTTTTGATCAGTTTAATTTAGGAGAACAAACAAGAGCTCAAATACTGTTAATGAAACTGAAAGTGTGTATTAATGAGCAGGAAGGCATTGATCAGTGTGCAGTTATAACCACAAAACCTAATTTGAATTTTTTAACCCAGTATTTTGCTTGTGTATTTGAATGTGCAAATTTTTTACTTTGTTGTACATAGGCACCTCAATCACACTGGTAGATCTGTATTTCTCTCTCAAATGTACAGGCAATTCTATAGTTTAAATAGTGCTCTCTTCTGTCATCCTCCAAACAGCCGCATTAACTCCTTACTTTTGTTGAATTCCCTAGCACACACTTATCCTGCTGTTCTCCTATACAAAAAAAGCTGAAATTGAAATGCTTCTAACGTAGTTTTCCAGGTTTTCTAATACTTCATACTTGTCTCTAAAGAGGCTTTTTGTTTTGCTTTAATTTTGAATGTCTAAAACCAGAAAGGAAAGTAGGTGGTACATAGATTTGGCCTTACATGCTTTCAAATAGAAGAAATTTGAAATGAAACATGCGGTTAAGTTACCTGTGCAGTCTCAGCCACCCATAAAAGTGACTGTGTGTGATCTACAGGAGAGGAGGGATAGGTACATTGCCTGTAAAGAGTTTCTTGATTACTGACATAATTACAGTTGATTCATCTGATCGTTTACCTAACGCCAACTCAAGGACTTCAGCCAAGTCTGTTAGTGTTGCTGATAATATTACAAAGCCAATGACAAACAGGCTTCATACGTGTGTGTTGTTTCTCTACGAGACCACTGGACCCTTAGAATAAAGAAAACTGATTAATTACTGGCAGCAGTGGTAGTGTTTGCAGATGTAAACCACTGTGTAGCCTTTTTCCAGATGGTTTTCAGTAGTCTATAATTTTACTTTAAGTGTTTTGCTTGGTGTCTCAGAAAAACACTGGGGCAGGAAAAGAGGTAAAAATGTGGTTTTCTAGAGCAACATTTAAATTATTATCAGACTAGTTTTCCTTTTTCTGCATTCTAGATTATGTCTCTTCTACCTTTTATTGAAGTGAAATGACGTCTTAAAAAATACTGTATTACTACCATTGCTCATCTGCAGAGCAGTATCATCTTATTTGTGGAATGGAGTGTCCTTTAAGAAAAACCTATATAATCATATAAAAGGCTATCTTGTAATGCATGCACAAAAGAAGGCCCTTTGTATTAGACTTTTCATACTTTATTATTTCTACAATTTTACCTTTGTTCCATATGTAGATGTATACACGCTAAAGTAACCTAAGGAAAAAAGCTCACTCCAGGGAAGAATTACCTACTTAAATTACAATGCTTGATCTTTGACATTTAGAAGTTAGACATCTAGATCTAAGATAGTAGCTCTAGCCTTCTTTTAGAGTTATTGTAGACACTTTCAGAGGATGATTCATGTCATCCTAAGATGAAGATGTAAGAAAAATGAAATTAATCACCAAAAGGAGGAGCCTGTTTGTCCATTTGCAATAAAGAGATCTTGTAATACTTAAGTTTGAGCTCATTATCTCATGCTTCACCCAAAAGTAGGTGAAGTAAATCCTGCTCTATTACCCAGATACTCTTTAGACCTTTAGATTCAACTAAGTGCTGTTAAAACCTCGTGATTTTAATGAAGGTAATAAGAAACCTTATGAATGTGGCAGAATTTTAAGAAAAAAAATAAGAAACACATGGCTGAAAATTCTTACCAGATACATTTGCGGAAGGTTGTGCACAAGGCATCTTAAGAGTTTAAAAAAAGAAAAAAGGAGGACTTGTCTGGAAACTTTCAGTCAAGGAAAACAGAATGATTGAACTGACTTCAAATCAAAGTAGTTGTTACTGGCATCCTTATAGGACCTTTCCATCTTCAGCTTTATTTGCATGATTTATCTTGGTCTATTGACTTTAAGGAGGTTGTCCTTCACAAAGTCTTTGCTTTTTAATATTTTTTGAAGTGGATATGTTCTATACGCAAGTAGCCAAATACTTGTATAAGTATTCCTCTAGAACCATTATGAAAAAAAGTGTTTTGCAAGGACGTCATGAAGGCTTTTTCTGTTCTGAAGGAAGATGGACCAGACAGTGATTCCTTCATGCATTAGTTAACTTTGAAAGTACACCTAAATATCAAGTTGCGACATTCAAAATGTCATGCTTCCTCCTTGCCAGTTCTCCAAGATTCAAATTTAAGATACTTCTTCCCAAGAGAGATATCTAGTCTGAGACCAACTTAAACAGCAATATGGAATTGATCAGTGTATTAACATTGTTACTTACTTAATTGTTTCAAATTTGGTAGAAGTTATTTCTGAGAGCAGAGTTTTTTTATATCTTTGTCTTTGAATTTTAAAAATACCTTAGGAGTTGATTCTCCTCATTTCTCCATCTCTCTTCTTACTAGTAGAATTGCCTGACATGTTTTTGAGAGAGAGTAGAAATATGGTAACCTTATCTGGTTTACTTTTCTTTTCCATTAAAAGACTGTGTTTGGCAATTCTGATCACGCTGGCATCAGACTTTTGAGTTGCATTTGTGAAAAAGAAATATGTATAATAGAACATATTTGAGTTTTGTGGTTTAGTAGGAATCATGATTTACAAAACTGTGCAGAATTTATCAGGTTTTCAAATACTGTTACTAGGGTATGTTCTTTAAAGGGAGCAGCTGGTGTGTACTTGTAGGTACTGCTTCCTAGAAACCATCTTGACTTCCCAAAAATCTTTTTCTGAAAATATCTAGTCATTTCAAAGATTTGCCATACATACTGTCTTGGAGATAAGAAGACAAGTACCAAATTTCTGTTTTGATATATATCGTTTGTTTGCTTGTGCACTGAACTACACAGTACTGCATGTTTACTATGTTACTTGAAAATATTAATCTTTCAACTGTTGGTTAAAAAATGTTACACGTCATCTTGCAAACTTAAATTTTGTAATATAGAAGGCTTCACTAAACATAATCAAATTTTACATTCCATCATATGTAGATAAATGTCAATATTATTTTTATGAAAAATAAGTTTATTTTTTATTGTGAAAATAAGTTCTATTTTTACAGCAGGTAATGAATTTGAAGAAGACCTTGAGATTCTTGAAGAGGCTGCTTTACAGGTACACTGCTGCTTTTATTTTTTTTGCCGTTGCAACATACTTCAGCACATAATTGCATTTAAACTTTTTGACTGCTACAGAAGAAAATCACTGGTAAGGTGTTAATAAGAGGGAGTCTGACTTGTTATAAAACAGTTTAAGAAAGTCTTAGAGGTTTAGTATTTACATTAAATCTTTTTTAAAATAAATCTGCTCAGAAAAAGAATGCATAAAATATCATAGAGGAAGTAAGATGACCAAATATTTTTCAAAATATATGTGTCTGGCTTAGGTTGCACAATTTAACATATTGTAGATGCTACCAAAATTAATCTGCTTGTTTCTTTGTAATTGCAGAAATAAAATCACTTTTTCAGTTGTATGGTAACATTTATCAAGTCTCAAATAATTTAATTGAAGTTTTTCTGGATTGGTGATATATTTTATTTGTTGTGATGGGAACTAATGCTGATCAGTAGATCCCTGGCTACAGCCCCTAGCAAATGATGCACAGTGAAAAAGGGAGTTTTCACATTTTATCTGTCTCTCCTAATTATCTTCAGGACAACTGTTTTGAAATTTAGATGTCACAGTACTTGCTGGAAAAAAGTATCAGTTCTACAGTATGACACCATTGCATAACCTTTAGATGACAGAAGAGTAAACAAAAACTGTCTAGGAGGAATCAGATTTTCCTTGAAAGAAATATTTTTTTCAGCAATCTGTTCTTAGATCTACTGTGTTCTAATTCAAAACGTGAGCTAGGAGTGTGCATGCAAGTAATTATTTTTTGCTTTTAGTTCAGTCTGTTAAATATTTTGTGCATCTTTCCACCTTTCTTCCCTTCTTGCAAGAGAGAGATTTCTTTTACTCAAAAATTTTTTTTTTACTCTTTTACTCACCCAAAAATATCTTAAGAAATTTGCCTTTATACAAATTACATCTCTAGTCTTTCTTTTGGAATATTCTAATTAGTCACGTTTTCAGAATTATTTTCTTCATTCTTCTTCTGGTCACAATTCAACAGTTCAGGATACTCTTAACATGAAAGTTCATGTTACCTTATTTTTTCTTTCAGAAATTCTCTGTCAACTCAAGCTCATTTAATCTCATTTGACATAAATTATTGTTTTATAGAGTGAACTGACTTTTTTTAACTTTCATCAAAGTTTATCCACTCTCCTGCTATACTTGAATGGTTTTCAGTGCCAAAAATGTCGGTGCCAGTTGTGTCATATTATGGGAAATTGTCTACATGTAAGATACTGAAAAGCTGTTTTGTTTTCATCCCCACCCCAACCCCTGCGGAAAAAAAAAAGGTGTGCAAATCTCACTCTGGCATTCTTGGGAAAGGCTTGGCCCTGTCTCACTCACCAACCATTTTGGAAGCTCTTGAAGGAAATCTTCCACTGCAGGTACAAAGCAATGAGCAGTCATTTCTGGAGGATTTCATTGCTTGTGTACCAGGATCAAGTGGTGGACGACTTGCAAGGTAAAAAGTTTGTATGCTGCATGAATAAACTCATTACTTTATAACTGTAATGTTTAAGTTTTGCAACAAAATAGAAAACGTTTAGTAGTGTGTTAAATTTCAAAACCTATGCACTGTTGCTTGTCCATAGAACTGGTTGTACGACTTTATAGCTACATCAAATACCAGTTAAGTAAAACTACTTGACTCTGTTTTTTCTAATAATATATTAGGTGAAAGCATTTAAGTGTTTAGCACTTCTGCATCCTTTCTTAGCTGGAAGTCATGCTTGTTCAGAGTTAAGAATTAATCCTTTGAGGCCTGTAAGAGATTCTAATATTAAGTGTTTGTCTTTGCTGCAGGTGGCTTCAGCCAGATTCATATGCTGATCCTCAAAAAACATCATTGATTTTGAATAAGGATGACATCCGATGCGGTTGGCCAACTGTTATTACAGTACAAACAAAAGACCAATATGGGGATGTTGTTCATGTTCCTAATATGAAGGTAATTGTTGTCATCTTGGCTGTTCTTCATTGTGTATTTCATTCTTTTCATATTTGTTGTAGATATTCCACAGAATAGTCCTGTACAGGGCAGAAAGTGGCATTTGTGAATTCAATGTAGTCAGACCTTCTTACCTCTAAATCTACAGGATTATCAAATTCCATGTTATACCAACACATTTCATGCTATTTATAGCTTGTCTGCAATGAGCTACACATGTGTAGTTGTGGAAATAATCAGTTGTAGCCAATGTTGGATGGTGATGTGTAAGGTGACAATAATCCATTTCTAACTTGTAAGCCAGGAAAGAGCATTACACGTTTTAAACTGAATAAATGTGATGGAATAAAAAATCTGAGGCATATTGATGGACCGTTTTATAGTCACTGTATTTTAGACTAGAACAGCACTTCCTCCTTTTCTGTTTCTGGTATTTGGTTGTTCTGTAGTTTGGTGGGGGTTTTTTGACAGCCTCAGAATTAGAAAACACTTGCAGGCTTTGGAGTAAAACCTACAAAATACGTATAAGAGCTGGCTGCTTGATTTGAAATAGCAAAGCATGCAAAGAAAACAAATTGAACACTAAATGTTTTTCACATTGTTTTAATAAATTAGGTTACATCTGTGTTTTAAAGCCCACTTTTATTCTGGCCTAGTACGAGTATTTTCAACACTTGCTTTTGCTCAAGCCCAAAAGCAGATGAAGCACATTATACAAGGACATAATTCCTGTGATAATAACTCTCAAATCTATTTTTCATGTAGGATGTAATAATCAACAGTTATGGTGAGCTGTAAATGCATTAATGAACCATGAGCCTACAACAGTAACACAAGAATCAGTCACAAACACAGCTTGATTGAAATTGAAACATGTGATTGACATAATCAAGTAACTTAAGTTACTTTTAAGTAACTTTCAAGTCATTCAAGTACTTAATCAAGTAACTTGAATGACTTAAATGTGTGAAAGAAAAGTAAAAAAAAACTTTCTAAGTCATGATTTTACTCTATCAATTAGGAAAAGGGTATGTCAAAATATACACACCAAGATAGTTGTTGGATTTTTGGTTTAATTACTATTTTTCTTCATTAATGTATTAAAATAACAGAAGTCTTAATTAAGTTTAATCATTCTGTTGTACTCATTCAGCATGCAATGAGCTGATATAACTTGCAGTAAATTAAAACAGCATGTGAAATCTGCAGCAATTAAACACACTTTATTGCGTGTGTATATGCTATGAAGACAGGCTGAGAGAGTTGGGGCTGTTCAGCCTGGAGAAGAGAAGGCTCCGGGGTGATCTTATAGCAGCCTTCCAGTACCTAAAGGGGGCCTACAGGAAAGCTGGAGAGGGACTTTTTACAATGGCATGTAGTGATAGGACAAGGGGCAATGGCTTTAAACTGAAAGAGGGGAGATTTTGATTAGATATAAGGAAGAAATTTTTTACCTTGAGGGTGGTGAGGCACTGGAACAGGTTGCCCGGAGTAGTTGTGGCTGCCCCATCCCTGGAAGTGTTCCAGGCCAGGTTAAATGAGGCTTTGGGCAACCTGGTGTAGTGGAGGATTTCTCTGCCCATGGCAGGGGGGTTGGAACTAGATGGTCTTTAAGGTCCCTTCCCACCCAAACCATTCTATGATTCTATTGCAGATTTAGGAAGAGTAGTGAGTAAGCTTACTTTCCAGATAGTCTGTTCTTCCTCGGAAAACTAAGTACAGCTGACTCTATTACCTGCATTAACAGAGATTTGTGGTATCCTTGGGGAAAAATAAGTCAGATGAAATATGTGTTAAAAAGCACAGTATAAATGTACAGGGCTGATACAGTAGGGTCGCGGAGCTAGCCAAAATCCAATCTGGCCACTGCTGATCCAGATCTAGCAAGCCCTTGTGACTCACTCTGAATCCTGTGCTCTCATTTGGAGGGCTGTCTTCCTTACTTCATAACATTTTCTGTTGTGAGAAAACTTAGCTAAGCATACCAGTTTACTGCTGCTTCCTGGAGGCAGTGCTCTGGGATTGGCAGAACTGACACCACTGGCCCTTACTGATCATGTGCCAAGTCACTTAGGTGCTTCCCTCCTGTACATTTACATTTTTCAGAGATGCTGTGCTTGGCTTTGCAAAGTGTTAAGTGTAGACACATATATTTTTGACACAGCTGGATTTATAGCGTGTGCTCTAAGCACTTTGTCACTGTACCTTATCAAATCTAAAAGAATGTGTGCATGTGTTTTCTCCCTAAATCATCTTCTGTGTTCCACATCTTATTGCAGGTAGAAGTCAAAGCTATTCCTGTTTCTCAGAAAAAAACATCTTTGCAACAAGAACAAGGTAAAAAGGTGCAACGGATACCAGGGAGTCCTGCAACAGCTGCTTCTCCTAGCAGTGATATGACCTTTGGAGGACTTCCTTCACCAAAGCTTGATTCTTCCTATGAGCCAATGATAGTAAAAGAAGCTCGATATATTGCTATTACAATGATGAAGGTAAATTTCTGTCTTTTCAGCAATATAACCATAAAATTCAGCATTCAAAGTGTGCAAAGGTATGCGAAGGAGAAGGAAAAAAGTATAATTCAGTATGGTCACAAGCTGAAAATGCATTACTTACAAATTACTTTGATTATATTCAAGTTCAACAGAAAATTAGATGCATCAAAAGGACCAATTGCCTGAACTCTAAAGCAGTTATAAACTGGTTTACAATTTAAGAAGAAAAGTTGGCTTTGATTTTGGTTACACTGATTAACAAACTAATCTGAGTCAGAGGAGAAATTAAAACAGCTGTTAAAGGAGGGAAGGGAATCAAACCTATATATCTGTATAGGGTTGGAGTGTTGCAGAGAATCTGTATTAAAAACTATAACTGGTGAACGCAGGAAAAAAAAATCAGAGCTCAGCGTGGTAAAAAGGTCATAGAACGACTTGTGTATCAATGCATAAATATTAAACAGCATCTGTTGAAATTAGCCATTGTCAAATGGATGGGCTCAGAGCCTTTGCCAGCAATCGTTCTTAAAGAGGTGCAAACTGGACAGTTAATATTGATTTGAGTGTATTTTAGCACCTGTGATAAATTTACATATATGCAACACATTGACCCGGTTAAGAGATAAGAGATGTGACATGATCTGTATAACTAGTAGTTGGACGACTTAGTAAGACTGGTTAATCAGGAGTTAGAGAAGGGTAATACCTAGTCTAATCAGCATGGATCTATGGAGGTGGAACAATCAGCAAACTAGCATCTTTTAGAGGGTACAGGATTGTCTTCTGCAGAGGATAGTGCTATGGTAGCTATGTGTAAATAGTTGAACTGGCTACTGAATAGTGTCTTAATAGATCAATGAAAGAACTATGAAATCAATATGGTGTACATCAAATGTCTTAAAAACTTATTAAATCACATGTCTGAAAAGACATTTACAACCAGGGAGCGTATATCAACGAAACAAGTGTGATCGTCTTTTTTTTTTAAATTTGCATACTGCAAAGGTCACTTCTTGGCTTGATAGCACTCTAATTTTAGGAGTGACTTAAGGGGGGAAAATACATTATTTATTAATAGTTGGAACCCAGATGAGATTTCTGATAACCACTGTCCACAGGTACCTGCTGTGTCTTTTCCAGTAACAGGAGTCAAATCTGCTGATGCAACGGTTATGGTGGTACATCTTGCAATGCATTAGGTACTCTGGAGTAGCTGATAGTGGAGCAAATGTAGGGTGTCCAGAAATTCATTTCTAGCTTTGATAGGCCCTTTGAGTGAGGCATGCTTGATGTTAGCTAGTTAATGTGTGATAATTTATAATTGAATAAGGCAAAGTTAAAACAAAAATGCAAGTATTCATTTCACGTCATCTTAGTAGATAGTACAAATCTTTGTAAAGATAAGACACACCAAGGTAAAATACAAAAAGTGTATCTCTCTTCTTGTTGAAACATGCTTGACTTGTATATTTAACACCTTTCTGGGGAATCTTTCAGAGGTTCCTTTTAGATTAAGTCTTTTCCATCCAAATCTTTAACTTTTTTTTTTTTTTTAATTCAGAAGAGAGCTGATATTTTGCTGCTTTAATTAAGGACTATCTGACATTCTGGGAACTGTAAATGTGCTACCTGCTGTTCTTGATTAGCTTATTAATGACTTCACTGATTCAAGAAAGTGTAAACACTCTTTTCTACTTCCCTCCCTGCATTACTGAGGACACTCATTTGAGTGTAAAATGCAGATGTCCCCTGACCTTTTCATTTTATGCCAGCCTCCATGTTGTATCAGTACGTGATAGAAACATCCAAATTGATGAGAAACTGTAGCTTCTCACTTCGTGACAATAAATTATGATGTGTTTGAGTGGACTGATACCCTGAACTATATCCTTGTATAGAGATCCAAAACGACTGACCTGCAAGTGCGTTCAAATGTTCTTGTCTCACCTCTTCTTCTGTTGTTTTTTATTTAACACGGGAATCTGATAACTCAGCAACCATCACAGCTCAGAGAGATTCTTGCTGAGGTACTTTGTGCTGTTCTGGGTCTACCATTGTTTACTTATGGGACTTGTCAGTGCAGTCACTTCACAAGAAACTGTTGAAGTAACCAACTTTTTTGTGTAGTGAGAATCAATGGAAGTATCATTTCAGTATAGAGGGAATTTATTCTTCACTTTGAGTAGAAAGAGAATCCAAAATTCCGTTAATAAATCCACTGGGCTGGTTTGCAGTTTTTGGCCTGCAATGTATTTGCTTTCTTATCTTCACATGGTCTTCAGTGCACTACGTACTTTCAAAGGCTTTTTATACAAGTGAGATTAGAAGAGGTTCAAAGACTGTGAACAAAGGCTTTTGTTAGCAATAGCTATCTTTATTCTATAAATAATGTTGATTTAAAGAGAAAGTGAAGATACTTTTTTCATGTATGTGTAGATATATGTCTGGTCTGAGTTTCTCTTTCTGTGTTTTGGAATTGGTTTCCGGTTCCTTGATCAATGCTTCTGGTGAGTGTAAAGTTAGATTAGTGTGTTCTTTGAGAAAATACTTTCATTTATTCATGACCATAGCATAACTGATGACTGTTGATTTTATGTTTGTTCAATTTAATTTGTTTATAGGCATATGAAAATTATTCTTTTGAAGAACTACGCTTTGCTTCACCAACACCAAAGAGGTAAACATTCAAACATTACTTTTTAATAGGGACTTAAGTTAACATGTCTTGTCATTTCTGCTTACACCCAGACTCACAGGCCTTGACTGCCAAGTAACCTGTCTAAGGGTAGAAACACTACAAAAATTATGTGTATTTTTTGTTAAATTTAGAGATTTTGTAAAATACTTTATTCTTGATTGTTCTAATGTTGGTTCCTTATTTATATTACCTACTCTCTGAATGTGTTCTTTCATCATTTGCTATAAATAAATGTGGCATAGAGGGTTATAAATTCATAATAAATAATATGGGGTTTAATATATTGGATGGGGAAAAATGGTATTTAGATGATCTGATAGGAAAAAAAAAAGCATAGTTTCCGAGCTAAGTATTACAGATGATTTCCGAGACGACAATAATTGTTTAATTATTTCGATTGTTTTGTTTATGCCTAGACCCAGTGAAAACATGTTGATCAGAGTCAATAATGATGGTACATACTGTGCAAACTGGACTCCTGGAGCTGTTGGTCTCTATACCATTCATGTTACTATAGATGGCATTGAAATAGGTACTTAATTTTCACTATACTTAAGCAGAAATTTATATTGTATTCTCTTTGTATACTGATAAACGTATGTCTTGGTGCTCAGAAGATTTATTACTAAAGTTTGTAGCAAAACCTAGCACCCAAGTTTTGGTTCGGAAGCCTTCTATCTAATTCCCTCTTCTTTCTCAAAAGAAACAAAAAAAGACCATAGCTATTCTCTCATGGAAATACGCACATGTGAGGCAAATCATGTATTTATGACGTGACTAGACTACCAGATGAATAGATTAATTAATAAGATTCTTTAGAGTCCTGAGAGAGCTGGCGGATGTCATTGCCAAACCCCTGTCCATTATCTTTGGGCAGTCTTGGCTCACTGGGGAAGTTCCGCTGGACTGGAGGCTGGTGGATGTTACCCCCATTTACAAAAAAGGGTGGAAGGAGGATCCGGGGAATTACAGGCCTGTCAGTTTGACCTCGGTGACGGGCAAAGTCATGGAACAGGTTATCTTGAGTGCTATTAATGAGCACATACAGGTTAACCGGGTGATCAGGCCCAGTCAACATGGGTTTATGAAAGGCAGGTCTTGCCAATCAAACCTGATCACCTTCTATGACGAGGTGACCCGCCTGGTTG